GCAAAAGATATATCAATTGCCTCAGCTCCATCACCTTGAGCCTCAAAAGAGGAACACCTCCCAGGTACTTCCAGAGAATCAAATAACACTCGGCAATTACCATACACTCCAAGATTGTTTAGCAAAAGACCCTTTGCTCCACCTTCATCGAACTGTGCAGATGTCTGATGGTAGAGAGGATCCACCACAAATGCAACTATGAACATAGATAGAGAGAGAAAGGGAGAGAGGTGAATAAATGCCTAGAGTGAAGAAAAGGGATAAAAGTGATGGTGATATCAATTTCGAAGGAAAATACAGAATGTAGAAACTTATCAAGAGATAAAATCAACGCAACCATGCACACGTGAGGGCAAAAGTAGAGAGAGAGAGAGAGAGAGAGAGAGAGAGAGAGAGAGAGAGAGAGAGAGAGAGAACCAGAGAGAATTCAACAAAAAAGCTAATTAACATCCATTCGTATCAAAAACCCTTTTAGATGCGCTTACCATCAAACTTCTTCACATTTAGAGCCTCGAAAGATGATTCCAGTGTGGACAATGGTGACAACTGCAGGTGTTTACTTTAACTGTATTAGTGTCCAACCTTTTTTCAGTTCCTAATTAGTTAAGATACCAATTTCATAATATATTTTATGACAAGAAACACTCACCTTTCTTTCTCGCTCTTTCTTTGAGTGGCCTTCCTCTTGCGCATTTTCAATATTGGCATTCTCCACGAAACTATCTGGCATAGTTAATAAACTTCAATGCATGGCAATGTCTAGAACCGACAAGACTGAAAACATTTTTTGTGAAGCATATCCAGGATGTAATGGGAATTGTTCATTCCCAGGCAACTGTACTTGCTATACCACTGTCAATGACTTGGAAACTTAACAAAAAGAAAGAAATAGCTATGTCATAGTTAATGGAAGTAGTACTTCAGTAAGGCAAAAAGGGCAGTTGTAGATCAGTGCGAGTATATTCTTTATATTTATCCTAACCGAGAAATATAACATAAAAAGACATGAAGGTGAAGAATCCCAGTTTGCAGGATAAAAAACTAGTTCTAGACCAGGAAAAATAGAAGGGTAAAGGTCATAGAGTCCACTTAACTTTATCAAATCTAATTATAAATAAAACTTTTATATGCTTTTGACTGACTGACTTAGCCATCTCCAAACCTTACAGAATGTGATGCTTCGGTATCATGGCCACTAAACTTTGGCATAATTTAGTCAAATCACTACAGTTTTTCCATTTGTTTGGATTTATCAACCCAACTTTCAAACTATACCTGTTATGAGCTTAGTTCCCATTAATTGGCAGAATACATAACATTACAAAGTCAAAGGTAGATAAACAAAAAGATATCCAATAGACAAAAGAATGGCGAAAATTAAGAATCCTTCTGTCCATATTACCCAAAAGGAAAGGGAAGAGAATATTCTCTCAAAAACTCCAGCGTAGAATCCAGATAACACTAAGTTATATCTCGACATTTGTAAATATCATATTCATAAATTAAGTTGGATAACATCAAAATACATCATTCCAATTCTTCACTTGTAAAATTAAGAGCAAGATAATTCATATATGCAATAGCAAAATATGTATTGGACTACAAATGAAAACGAAGCCTTGACAAATCTAACCTTGTTCATCCTCTTGCCCAACACGATTAATTCCTCCAAGAACCTTATATGCTTCTGAATGAACTGAATCCACCCTCATTGAATAAATCTTAACTCCAGCTTCAAGGGTACAACTTGCCTAAAATAAAACCATATATACTATATAGATGTGTATGCCGTTTATATGGTATCTACTTGTGTTTGCGCGACATACCCGCAAAATAATAAATGTGTTGTGCAATGTAAAAGTCACTGTTTCAACTGTCAATACTCACTTTTATACTAACTTGGAGGAAGCATGCATATTTGAAAATTCACATTTCTCCCACAAAACAATCCTTTTTTGCCGGGCTTTTATGAAGTTAACATGAAGAAGCCATTGCTTGAAAGATAAAATTAAGATTAATAACAAGAAATGATTCCATTGCCAAAAAAAATAGAAAGCAAAAGAAAGGAATTTGCTCCAGACACGTGTAACTGACCAAAATCCAGTATACTCGGACCAAAACGCAAGACGTAATATTCCTTCATAATCAACAGATATTTGAAGTGTGATGGGACAGAATAAATTGCACATTAAATTTCAAAAAAAATGAGCACCTTCTGAAAATTGGTTTCTACATCATTCTCTTCGTCGACTCTAATAATCTCGTAAAGATGATCTATCAAATTCAGCTCCCACGTGTTCTTCTGGTTAATTTTCTGCAAATCCATAAATATCGTAAACCAACTTGAGATCAAATTTCTCGTAAGTTACAAAAAATAATAAAATAAAAAAGAGGGAAAACGTTTTCGCTGGCAAGTTTGATGCAATTCTGAAACAATTCGAGGATCTGTTCTTTTCCAAGCAATGGATCAGCCTTGGGAGAAGTGGCTGTCGTAGGGGCGGCAGGTTTCCGGCGCACGGCGGCGGCCCGAGCGGCGCGTGCCTGAGCGCGTTCCAGTTTGTCATCGTTGGAGCCCAAGAAGAAGGGGCTTGAAGGAGAGAAGGGTCCCCTCTGCTTAGGGTTCGGGCTCAGGGTTTCAGCCATTTGTTTTGTGTGAGCGTAGAAGAAAGGGGGAGTTTTTTTCCGTTTTTCATTTATCTCCGAAGTGATTTTGAAAATATTATCTTTCCCTCCAAAATAGAATTGGATAATTAACCATAAATAATTTTTAAAATAAGGTACACGTGGCATCATTTATTGGATGGTAAGTAGCACCTATCAAAAGTCCCCGTCATAAACCCTATGCAGCATTATTCAATAATTTATATTTTACCCCATTATAATATGATTAAGCTAAAAAAATTTCAATCGAATAAAAAAAAAACATCTCTACTTTGTTGTTCAACATCATATATCCATAAGCTTAACTCATGGCAAACATGTAACATTATCCATTATAAAAAAAATCACTGATTAATGTTTAGTCTAGATTAAGGGTTATACTTCATATATATCAGAGCGTAATGGTCAAGTGAAAAATAGCTTTTTTCATTAATCAATGATGAAATGATACTTATGTACATGTAAAATGATCCCTAGATTAAAATTATGGTTGTAGTGGTAAAAAATAATTTACTAGTTCAAGTGGTCCAAACCATAGAACATGGTCCATAGATGATACAATCGTGTCATCATCGGTCCAACTCATTATAACAATCGACCCAAATACACAGTCCAAGACCCACAAGTTAATTCAAAATTTCCAATAATCTATATTCCAGATAGATCACGTTGCAATCTATTCAAATCTAGTGAAAGTTATTTGAAAACAGGTCTGATATCTCAACTGAAAAGATCGGATTAGATTCAACTCCAACCAACCACGAAATCTCGGAGAATCCTCGCCAATCCCTCCTAAACGGTTATCCTACTCCTATAAATTCAGCAGTCGATCGAGCATTCAGGTATCAGAATCCCCTAGACTCTAATTCATTTCTTCTTTCTTCCATTTGGCATTAATTAAACTTTCAACGAGATTTAGTGACCTGACTGTCGGAGTGTCTTCGGGCGACACCACACTGGTGTCCTTTTGAGATCTTTTTACGATCATTTTCCTTTGTTCTATTTTTTTTGAGTTCCACAGGATTGCTGGTGGCCTATCCGTTCTAATTTCTTGGTTGTAGAATCTACCATTTACAATGATCAAAATCAACAATTAGTTTTAACACTATATTCTACGGAATTTACAATTTTCAACAACACATGTTTATCATTTTTAATCAAAAATTACTAAAATCTAATTTTAATCTACATTTGGCTAAAAAGTTACATACAGCGCTAATCTCGACGTCAAAGTAAATCTTTATATAGGAAGCTGCATAGTAGAGTGTATCTTGGACCCTGTTTGGAAGTGATTTTGAGAATTGATTTTTTGACCGTTAGGAGAAAAGTGGGGTCCACCTGTGAGAGAAGAAGTCAAATATGAAGACTGAAATAGTAAAATAACGGTCAAAAAATCAATTTTTTGGGACAAAAAATCGCTCCCAAACAAGCTGTTAATTGTATGGAGTTGCTTGTCCCAATTTTCGAATCACAAAATTGACTGAGTTTTGTTTGGCCTATTTTCTAAAAAAATTATTTTAAATACATATTTAATAGGATTCACAATTTTATCAATTTTTCAATTACACATTTCATTAATTTTTATTAAAATTTACTAAAACTTTGATTTTCAACTAAATTAAATAAAAGTTAAAGGTGATAAAGCTAGCCATGATTGGGGAACGTTGTGTGCTGGGCGGATGAATGGATGCTTGGAATTTTACTCTATGGCGTGTGGAGTGATGCTAAAGGCAGTAATAAAAAAAGAGACTGTGCTTGAATATATTTATGAAATTAAAGATTGCTTGAGTCAGGTCTGATAGCCCATCCACAGTTGGCCGAATAAAAGCTTCTCACAACTTACGAAGAAAATCATAAATAAAATGTTCTTACCACGTCAGCAATAAGAAATTTTTATCCTCTTTACTATAGGTATGAGATCAGCCAGACTCAAGCAAACCCTTATTTGATAAGCACCCTCTCTCTTATTATGGCCATTAGTATTACTCCAACACCACAAAGTAAAATTTCAAGCATTCCCCCCCCCCCCCCCCCCCCCCGCCCCCCCCCTTATACAAAGGATTACGTATGGGAAATATTCGGTTTGAGAGATTATAGGTAAACTTTTCTTACCACGTCAGTAATCGAAAGTTTTTATCATAGAGATCAATTTTATTGCTTGAGTTCCTCTTAGAAGAGAATATATTTTGTGATAGGGGTAACTTCTATATTGCGAAATATCTTCATATCTTTTAATTTTTTTGTAGATTATATTAAAACATTCATTCTTGCTAATCACAGTTTCAAATCTTTCATCATCGCCTCCTTCTCCAAATAGATTTATAATCGGAGCTCGATTCTATTATGCTATTTATTGGATACTTTTTGGCAGCATGTTTGGAGTGGATTAAGAAAATGTTAAAACTACATATTTGATGGCATTTCATTTCTTATATTTCCACTAGATATTGGAAAGCTAATTTGTATTATTAGTCACAAATTTTAACAAAAATATTATAGGTAGAACTGGGAATCAGAGCTGTGAACCTCAAATGATATCATCTATAAAATATTCAGTGTAATGAATGATTTTAAATATTGAAATATATGGATAGACCACCCTGGATCAGCGCAAGAGGTATCATTAGTTGACCAGTCATACTATGGTTGGGTATTGAATTGTTAGTTTTTTAACTGTTAAATTTGCCTAATAAAGAGGTAGTATTTTTTCATAAATCGACCACACCAAGTGACTCATTTTATTAATAAGAAAGCTCTCACATAGCTCTTCAATTATATTTTACTCAACTTTTCAGACTAGAACGAAAATCATGCGTCCAAAAGTAAATATATTTATAGTTTATTAGGCAAAGTTTTTTTCAAAATTATTTTCAACACATTCGATCGATCCCACAACTTTTCCTTCAGCATACATTTTAAAATAATAACAAATTTCACTTGAAAAAATTCTATGCCAAACAAGTTTATGTGCATATTTGGTAGCGAGTTTTCTCCCCAAAAAATCAATTTTTTTAGTGTTATTTGACTATTTCAGCCGTTATATATGACTAATTCTGTCACAAGTAGGATTCACTTTTCTCTCTAACGATCAAAAAACAATTCTCAAAATCAATACCGAATAAGCCCATGTCAAAGAGAGAGAGAACATGAACTGACTTCACAGGTGAACCCCATCTGATTTTTGGACAAGAACATTCAAATTTTGATATAAATAACCATGGTAGGTCACATTTTACGCATAGAACAGGGCTCAGCGCAATCGAAAGCACTATAGATGTACAAATGGAGCCTAAAATTGCTATTCAAAATAGTATCTCGAGGATTAGTTCTTCTGATGAACAGCAATTTGGTGCATATCCATGTCCTTCAACATCACAGAACGCCCACATGAATCACAAGGAGCAGTTCTCGATCCACAAACACTCTCATGCTCTGAGTAACCCCTTAGCCTGTCCCGTGCATCAGCAGCACAAGTCCCAGCTTGAACCATATCTCCACAGAATCGACATGTAATAAGACGCAATGGGCAATCTGAAGACTGGTGCTGCACCTGTTGAGAAATAAAAATATTTGAATGCTAGGAACTTGGTTAAACGGGATTGCAACAAAAATGCAATCGTGTCATAAGTTCTATAAACACTGTAATTTGTGTCCTAAAAGCTGCCCTGAAGAGGATAATTTTAATCGACCTATCAATTTAACAGCACAATAAGTGCTATGCCACTCAAAATTTTCACCGGATTCCCTTTATATGACTTCTATAATGTGTCTAGAACTGACCCATCAATCTAACATCACAATAAGTAATAAAAAATTTGAATGGAGAAGTTCAAAGACTAATCAGATTTTAACAAACTAAGCATCACATGACAACGTTGGCAAGAATGCAAAAGAAATACAGAAAAGCATAATCATTACCATCTGTTCTTTCTCGAGGACAATTCCACATGGGCAATGAAGTGGCTCGTGAAAAACTTTGACGTGCTTCTCAATCTCTACCTCATGGAAAGCCTGTCCACATTTTCCACAGTGCACATGGCTTTTGGCATCCTCAGTCTTAAGAACAATCCCACAACCAGGATGCTGACAGATGACATTATGTCTGCTACAATAAGCTTCATGAAGTGCTATGGTCCTGGAAGGAATGTTACGCTTACAATTTCTGCATTCGACAGTATCTACCTCCATAGATGACGAAGAAGATGCAGCATTCTGACCCACCTTCTCCCTCGGCTTGTCTTGAATAGTTACTGAAACCGTGAATTTGGATGTCCCTTTAAAGCCATATATACCAACACTGTAACTACCTGGTCCGAAGTTATCATCCTCCGTGCCAAGTATCAAAGCCTTTGAACCCACATCATGGGAAGACCAGAAATGCTGGTGGCGTGTTGGGAACAAAAGTGGATGCCTAGAAACATAGAGATCAGTATCTCCATCTAGCATCTGTGACTCTAGCTTAATTTCAATTTTGGCATCTGCCGAAGAAATTATTTTCCAAGTATCATCATCAATTAAGAACTTATAGTACAAGTAGTTTCCTTCATCAACCACTCCAGATTCTGGCTTCCCAAAGATGAGAGGTGTCAGCACATGATGGTTTGTTTTTTCTGCTGACTCGGGACCCATAATGTCAACTTCAATATCTGTTTCTAGAACAGATACACTTGAAGAGGGTTTCAACTCAAGAACACGTAAATGATATGTCAGGGCACCATGATTGACTGTAAGCACATCACCTTCTGATAGAGTTGCATGTTGGCGAAGGCTTGTTTCCAGGACTGCTTTGTGATTGGGAATGTCAGAAAAGCCAATTTCATCTGATTGAAGTTTAGCATAGGTTCCTTTCGGCAGCCAAACATAACGTACTTCCACCATGGAGGACTTGAGAGTACCTGCAGGGAATAAGTTACTCCAAATGTGTGGAGGAAGCGCTACAGAACCTTCCTCTGCAGTGAACTCCATTACACCAGCATGCGTCATCCCGTTCTGTTCTTCTCCAGCACCCTCATTGTGAATCAAGGACAAAGAGAAATGCAATGGTCCTTTGTCAAA